GTTAAGTACTTTGTTGCAGCATTTGTTATATTTTTATTTATTATTAATTATTAACATTTATTTAACCAGGCAATCCCATTGAGATCCCAGATCTCTTTTGCAGGGGAGTCCTGGGCCTGAAGGCAGACTAACATGCATGTTTTTGGTCTGTGGGAGGAAACCGGAGTACCCGGATTACAACCCACGCAACGCGAGAAGAACATGTAAACTCCACACAGAAAGACCCCAGGTCCAACCGAGGATTGAACCCAGGACCTTCTTGCTGTGAGGCAACAGTGCTAACCACTGAGCCGTCGTGGTGACACTTGCTGCCTTTAAGCTGTTTCCTCCTTCCAGGTTTTAGCTCTCCTGGTCTGCTTTGCAGGACCTGTTGTAGAAGCTTTTGCTGCTTCTTGCAGAACGTCTGAGGGGACAAAGGCAGCTGAATGTTTTTTGTCTTTGACTTTTTTCTCTCATTTTAACTTTGTATGTGTCTGCAGATTCTGGGTTATGCAGATTACGCCTTCACTTCCATCTTCACCGTGGAGATTCTGCTGAAGGTATGCTGGATTATTGTAACAGTCTTTTTAAGTTTGACCAAGAAGGATCTTGATGGTTTGCAGACAGCTCAGAATGCTGCTGCAAGGCTTTTAACCAACACACGGAAAAGACAGCACATAACGCCAGTTTTAATCTCTTTACAGTGGCTACCGGTACATTTTAGAGTTCATTTTAAAATTTTAATTCTTACATTTAGAGCCCTGAATGGTCAAGCCCCAGTCTATATCTCTGACCTTGTAGAACCCTACTCCTCTTCTCGGAGACTCAGATCTTCCAGTCAAAGGCTGTTAATGGTCCCACAGACTCATTTTAAGACCAGAGGGGATCAAGCTTTTAGGGCTGTGGCCCCCAGACTGTGGAATGTGTTGCCTCTGACTTTTCATTGCATTGATTCTCTTGATTTCTCCCGATGCATGCTCAATAATCCAGGTAGAAAAATCCAAAAAAGTTCAATCTGGTCCTCTGGACATTCAAAAAACCCCAAAAACAAAACAAAGCAAAAAAATGTAGAAACGTTTCGTCTCT